CTTTTCTCGCAATTCTTAGTTTTTAGATTACTTCCGGTTCCATAATTCTCTGTCAAGTTTAAACTTCAAAAATCAAAACACAATGCCAATCGCTATCTGCTATCCGACTGATTAGTATTTTTTCTTGCGTCTTATTAATTCATATGTATTCTAATTATTAATCAACTAGTAATGCCTTGTCTCAGTGGCTTCCGTGCTAGAGTGAATTTGTTGTAAAAACATCAAGCCAATGTTTCAATTGCATGAACAACCAAATTTCCTAAATCTGTTCTTGAAATGACATAGGCAATAGTTGAGCCAAATTATGGCCCAAAATGTTGAGATGATTTACAAAACAGATTCCTCGAAATACAGTTTTTATTCGGCATCTCAATTTATGACGGTATTCAGCAATTACTTTACGGTGGAAATCATTTAAAAAAAAATCAGGCAGATTTGACTCAAAAACTACTCTTAACATTTAACCAGAATACTAGATAGGATAACACGTAATGTTACGTCTGCAGAAGCGAATCCCACAGAATTTATATAGCAGCCTGTCATGTGAATGCTTCTGCGAACTCTACAAATTTAACCAACTCATGTCAAGTATCAACCATTAACTCCCTGCTTCATTCTCATAATTTTCACTTCCTTTTACCTTTTTACGTTCATATTTCTTACATTATTCGGGAACCTTAAGGCAGTGGCACCCAAATGTCTTTTCTCTGGACTGCAGTGTCGGGAAGAAAATTTCTTTGCGCTTCACCAAATCTTATGTGTTAAAAAGTACATTTAAAAAGAAAAACGAAATACAGGGGGAGGGGAAAGGGGAGATAACTGCAGATTTAAAATCACAATATTATCAATGATAACGCCCACCTCCAATTTTCGTCCCTAGTTAATATATTCTTAATACTTATATAACAATGAACAAATCGGTCAATGATTATTTATAACTATTTATATTGAAATTCAGGCATGCAAATAAAAGTAATCCATAATAATATTTGAAATTTTGAAATCATATTTAGTTTTAGCATATCAATATTTTTATAAACTGTTTCTAAATATTTGATTGTCTCTCAATCCCTCTACATCACCTGATATCCACTTCCGCCCAACCAGCTATCAACTTCCGCCTCACGCTTTGAGAATCACTGCCCTAAACTATGAAAATCTCTTGAGCCCTGTATTAGATTAACTTTATTATTGAAAAACCGTGAGGCCAAGATAGATGTATACAAACTAGGAGTCTTCCAGATGTATCAGGTATGTTGACATATTTGTAATATAGTTTCCTTTACCGGATATATAATAAACAGTTAGGAACTTGTTGATAAGGTATCATTTTGTAAGGAATGCACATGAAGATATGGTAAGAGGTAATAATTTATGGCGGTGCTGAATGAATTCGTTCACCATATTCTTAATGATCTGCAACCGAAGCACTTAACCTGTACCTACGAATGAAGCTGTTTTCTGAAATAAACTAATTGCAAAGAGAAAAGTATAAAAAGAATAATTTCAAAACTATTGGCGTAAGTGTGAAACGCAATTAAATAATTGATTCGATTTAATTCAATAAATCGAATTAAGGCATTTAGATTTTTGCAGAACGTGTTTTGTCTAAATCAATTATAAATTTTATATTGGCGCCAATCTATTTTGCGTTGTTAACTTTCTATCAAGTGAAAATCCGCGCTGATTTACTCAATCGTTTATTGATTATAACACCTGGGTTCTCTTGATGTTTTTCTATGCGCGTACTCGCAATTTGGTGGATATGAATGAGACAGTTAAGCACGGTGAATTAGCCAAATCTGTGCTTCCCACATAGTGAAGCATTGTTATAGTTTCTCTATATATATTTTTTCCAAAATCTCTATTAAGAGGTCTTGAATTTTGAATTGTGCTTCTGTATTTATACATATCTATCTACCTTTCTGTCTGTCTGTCTGTCTATCTATCTATCTACCTATCTATCATTGTGTATAGTTTTTCATATAAGTATCGACTGATTGATCGAAATATTTCAAATATAATATATATATATATATATATATATATATATATATATATCGATCTTTCTAAATCTGAACATATCAATCATTTTAAAGAATCTGGTTCTCTGTTTATATGATACAGTATGTCTGTCTGTCTGTCTGTTTCTCTCACTCTCTCTCTCTCTCTCTCTCTCTCTCTCTCTATATATATATATATATGCGATCTACTTGCCTAAAATTCACGAGAGCTTAAAACCAGTGTAGTGACTCGAGCTGCTCTTCGTTGTGAAGTGTTTATTCGCTCTGTTTAGATTGTTTTGACATTGACTACTTTTAAATTATCGGGTAGTTAGTTGTTTACCTTTTGGTCTTGGATTTTTTTTTATTAAATTATTTGAATATATATATATATATATATATATATATATATATATATATATATATATATATATGTGTGTGTGTGTGTGTGTGTGTGTGTGTGTGTGTGTGTGTCTATATATGTATATATATATAGG